AAAAGCAGTTCCAGAAGTTTCTTCAGCGAAACTCCCTAGTTGCGCTTAACACATGGCAGGGGCGCAAGGCAAACACCTTCATCTCGCCACAGGGCAGCTCTCAGATAGATTTCATCTTGACCTCCAAATTCTACGCTGCTCAGCTGGCCCGCAAAGTGTGTGTCCTCAAAGACTTTAAGCTGGGAGCATGGCGTAAAGGTGGCAAACACATGCCACTCCGGACGGCAGTACCCCTCAAGAAGGTCTGGAGACACCCGTTCTCGACCAAAACTCAACCGGCAGTCCCTTCCAAACAAAAGTCCCTACTGGCTCACCATGTTAGACAAAACACTCCTCTGGCTCAAACCCTGCGGGAGCAAGTTGCACAGGATGTCGACAAACTCCGAGCGCAGAAGAATGGAGAGCCTCTTCACCCTGATGAGGTCAACGAGCTTCTTCTCGAACACGCCAAGACTTTCCAGCCGAGGGACCCAGAAGAAGGCAGCTCGGACGCAGCTCCGACAGCACAACCTCTGTGGCGGCTTCATAACCATCGGCAGACTGCACTGCGGAACCTAAAACGTGAGGATGACGTCATAAATAAGATGGCTCGCACTGAGCACCTCAAACAGGCTCAGCGCTCGCTAGACGAGGCAGCCAAGGCACATGCCATCCAGATAAAGAATCAGGCCCGAGAAAGGACTCATCGCACTTTGACAGAGATTTCTGAGAAGGTCAAACGAGATCCACATGCGGCATATCGCTCTTTAAAGCATGTAGCTCCTTGGTCTCCTGCACCTAGAGTCTGCCTCAGATCGCCATGCGGCCGTATCCTAACTGAGTCTGAGGGGCTGGCAGAGTTGAAGAGACATAGTCTTTCCATCTTCTCCTCGCATCCCCCCCTAGCCAGTGGCGTAGGCCAAGCCTTGCCCAAGCTGGACAAACGTAGTCTGTCCAAAGGCATAGCCTCTATAAAGCCGGAAAAGGCAGTACCGCAAGGATCTGCCCCAGCATCCTTGTACCGCCTTTGTGCTTCCACTGTGGCCAATAATTACTGCGACTATCTTGAAGCGGTGCCTCCGCCTCCCGCTCTGACCCATCCGGCGTGCGAGGTCACCTCCTGCCAAGGGAAGCGCGAGCCTCAGCATAACACAGCACCACTGAATCCAGCCGAGCCACCCTCGCTGCCCACAACGGCCAAGTCAGCAGACCTTAGCTTCATACCCAAGCCCTCTAAACCTGCCTCTAAGCCGGAGAACTTGCGACCGCTGGGCATCATTAGGCCAGATGGCAAAGGAATAGCCTCTGAGGCTAGGAGAAGGCTCGACCCCCTCTTTAAGAAGGCCCACTTTGCCTCCCCTCAATTTGCCTACATTCCAGGACGCGGTATCGCCGATGCCCAACTCCGGGTAATTGGCCACGCAAGGCGCGTCCGTGCCATGCTTCGATCCCGAGCACCAGACAGATTCTGCACTCCCAAGCGCACGAAGGGCAAGCCGGATCTAATCGGAGGCTTCACCTTCTCACTAGATCTCTCTCAAGCTTTTGACAAAACAAGCAGAGAGGCTCTCTTGCGCTCACTAATTACTTACGGAGCCTCACCCGAAGACGTCGAGCTGGTTGCATCCCTCCATCGGGAGGCCCAGTATAATCTGCGCTATGGACGAAGCCAGGAAACAGTAACCTCCACAAGAGGTATAAAGCAAGGCTGCAAACTGGCCCCCTCTCTCTTCTCCCTGGTCATCACGGAGGCGTTCCGGCTTATGGCCACCCACATAGGGTTCCCTCCCATACAGCAGTTCCTCACAGGATTCGCAGATGACCTCGTCATTCACCGAGACATCCACAACTGGTCCGATCTCTACGCGGCTCATGACATGGTTAGACTGTTACTGCACTACCTGCAAGAAGCCGGACTAGAGGTGAATTACGCCAAGTGCAACATCATGGTCAAACTGGCAGGTCGCCACGCACAGCAGGCCAAGAAGCTCTTCAAGTCACAGGAGCTTCGCTCAGGCCGGAAGGTCACGGTCTGGAATATAGATGCACCAGAGCAGCCAAGACGGCCAATTCTGCTTTCGAATTCCTCAGTTCTTCCCCCTCTCCCCTCTCTTCCTTCCTTCGAGCTGGTAGACTCCTTCAAGTATCTAGGGGTCATGGTCAGCTACTCAAACCCGGAAGATCTTACCTATTCCTTAAGACAAGAGAGAGCGGCGAAGAAAAAGCAGACAGTGCGCAATTCATTCACAATAAGCGCAGGACAAAAACCGCATCTAGGCTGCTTGTCTGGAGAGCCACCGTATGGTCCACGGCCACTTTTGGCCTGGAATCCGTTGGTCTCTCAGGTAGGCGGGCAAGGGCTCTCCGCTCATGGCATGCCAGACAGGTGCGAGCGGTAACGCACAACCCTGTGCATAAGACTCGTGAAACTACAGCAGCGCTTTTTGCACGTCTGAAACTTGTCTCTCCCATTCAGCAGCTTCATGATCGCTCCGCCCAGCGCCTAGACTCTCTCCGCAAG